CCGCCGGGCTTTGCCCGACGGAGCGCGCCGGCGACGGCGGGGGGGAGGGGAGGGAGACGGGGCCGAGGGCCGCGGCCAAGGGGACACACCGGGCGCGCTGCGGGAGGGGAGGGGAGGGGAGGAAAGGGGGAAGGGGAGAGGGGGAGGAGAGCGGGGTCGCCGGCGGCAGCGGGGTGGGAACCCTAGGGAGGGGAGCTTCGCCGCGGGGCCGAGGAACTCTCTAGTTAAACTCTCAACTTCCTTTTGAATCTTATCAACATGATTCATAATGCTTTTTTTAAAGGAGGGTTACTCCGGTCTCTGCATCAAAATAATGCATAGAGCCATATTATTAAACAAAGTAGCCACCAAATACGTAGTTTGATACAACTTCATGAATCAAGCTGAAAAAATAAAAATTGCCACAATCGGCAGAAATAGGATAAGATGACCATACGCCTATCCTACTATTTGAGCAACATACAAACCGGTTATAAATATCCCGTGCTACCGTCTCCCAACAGTTTCACCCATAAGCCATATTTTCCTTAACTTCAGCATGGCTGAGTATCTAGCCCACAAAAGTATACCACATAACGCTCATATTAGTTCACAAAAGCATTATGTTTCTTGAATAAATCTTCTCAATATTTAGAACTTGGCATATCTATGTCTTCTCGTATATCGCAAAAATGGATGTATCTAGAACTAAAAATATGTCTAGATACATCCATTTTTGTGACATGTAATTCGGGATGGAGGGAGCATTGCACAAGTACCAATGTTCAAAATATCAGTTTTCTGCAAACTGGAGGGAGTGTGATTTCTGCCTTTGATTCTAGCAGATTATGTCAATTTATATTTACACATTGTCAAACAAGCTATTTTACACACAAAACCGTCACCATACATGATCCCTCTTTTTTTTCATCTGATCCCTCTTATTTATTTAGGCAAACACCCCAATGCAACCTTAGGTTAGCAAAAGAGAGATGCGGTATATTAGCCCCCAGAACAAACACAAGAAAAAAAACACGAAAAGATGGAAATGCCTCTTGAATTCCTTGTTAATCAACCTCCGGCTCTTCTTCCAGGCAAACAGATGAGCAGCGGCTGTGCAAACGTTGCAGATTCACCATCGAAAACGACCTCATTGGCACCGGCAATATCTTAGACATGCAAGACCCAAGCCGAGGTGTGGTGATCGCTGGAGAAGCAAATTGTGCAGTGTTATCAGGTGACTGAACAAAAATGAACTGCTGAGGCGGCTCGTTTTCGTCGCTGCTGAGGCTGCTGCTACTGCTGCTGTTGGAGCTCATACCATCCGAGGGCCTCAACCTGCTTAAACCCGCAAACCTCTTGGAGAAACCATTCTCGTAGGTCTCCGGCACGGTGATCTGTGACTGATTGTACATGATGCTGTATGCAAGAAGATTTTTCCGTTTCCTGGAATAAGCATTGTCTGCCTTGGCAATGACCTTTGCAGAACCAGATGGCCCGATAGCTTCCTTGAGGAATGTGAAAGATCTGGACTTGCCGTTATAGAATTTAGAGATGCCACGCCTGCCCCACAAAAAGGATAAGCACGTCATAGGTAGCATATAGATAAACACCATAATGATGCAATGAACACACACATGAAGCGTGTAGTGCAGAAAAGTATAACAACATAACAGCTGTAGCGATAAGCATTGCCGTTTTGGTGGTGCATTATTTATGAGCAAGCATGCAAAACTGACCGGACAAAATACCAAAGTAAGTGTTTCCGGATCAGAAGGAATCAGGGAAATTTATGTCAACAAACAAAGGAACTTTTGCATTTAGCAGTTCGCAGACCATGTTGGCAAGAAAAACTAAAGCTACTTCTCAGTATTAGGAAATGTAAGATACTTAACCAGAGTATATTAATAGTACCATAGAAGGACCATACTGTTTGCAAAACATGTAGGAAAATGTTTCCATTAATAAACAAAGCCACAGTTTGTATAGTAGCAAACATATCAAATGGAGCACTCTTTCGTGGGGTTCATATACAGCGAAGGATCCCAACATGAAACTTGCATTGTGTTGTCAAGAGTTGTACTGTAGAACTTCCAGCTAATAATATGTTCTTGCTATTTCCTCTACAAGCAATGTGTTTGTAGAAAAATGTGCAAGTATTCATGAGAAGATAGGTACACCTCGCCAACCTCACAACAATAATACTAAACATTACTAAAGCAAGACATGAGAACGACGCGATGCAGCAGTCATTAGCACACAATTGGCCGGGCAAATAGCAGACCTGTCCCATCAACTAAACAATGTGGAGCACTCCATATCATCACGCAACTGAATAAAATGATCCACAACTCTAAGAGAAGTTGTAATCAAGAACGCGGACGCTATCACGAAAGTAACAAGATATCCAATGTGCCTATTTCCCCAGTCCCAAACGCGCGGCGTCAACCGAAGATCGCCCAAGGATGACTATTTCTTGCAAGAGCTCGCGGGCAGCGAAGCAGAGCGAGACCACAAATCTAACATGCCGAAACAAAAACGTCGTAAAAGGGGCTCTGCTCCTCACCGGATGGGAAGCGACTCCTCCAATGCGGCGAGGCCGTCGAGCCCCGCCCCGCTGTAGGCGCTCTGCACCTCCCCCTCCCCGTCCTCCTTCCCCGTCGGCGCGCCGCCCTCGTCGCTGTCGTTCCCCAGCGACGACGACGAGCTGCACGGCTCCGGCTGCGGCGGCATCCGCCTGATCTGGAACCGGCGCTGCCGATCCGCCCGGCGACGAGAAGAGGCGGCCGTGTGCGCGCGCGTGCGGATTGATTGATCGCCAACGGGAAGGAGAAGAAACGGCCCCTCTCGCGTCGTCGTCGTCGTCGGTTTAAGGAGAAGGTCGGATTTTAAATAAGGCACGGATGGATGGGGTGCGGATTTTAAATACGCAGGGGTAATGAAGGCGAGCCGTTTCTGATGAAGAATAACTGTGCCACGTAATGTGCAGATCAGCTCGTAATTAATAACGGATTGGTCAGAGACGTGCGGGGCAGGGAGAGAGAGGAGGAGGACGAGGTTTGGGTCGGCAGCGAGTGAGGGTGAACGTGAGCTGGAGGGCCGCGCGGCGCCTTATCGGCTTATCCACATACGTATGCAATATTTATCTCTTTTCTGAGATATAACTCTACGAATATTCAATTCTGAGCCCGGGCTCATCTGCACCCGATCAAAAAATAATTCATAAAAAATTTAAAAAAAATTTAAATGGTAGATAATTTGATGCGTGAGGTGGGCTCCAAATTTCACAGCACTTGAACATTTGAGTAGCTCTTAGCAAAATAGACAAATTGGGTCAGAATAGTATACGAACAGTACACTATTTAACAGACCCCAAAAATTTGTTTTTTTGCCGAGAGCTACTCAGATATCCAGATGATTTAAAATTTGGACCGGACATCATGCACCAAACTATCTACCATGCCAAAAAAATGGATTTTTTTTTTGAATTTTTCTAGTATTTGCTTTGATTTTTTTTATTCGGCACAGGTGCAAATGCTCCTGGGAGGCAAAACGCCTCACTACTCTACGAATCATGCATTCCTTATTAACTTTTGGACATTTCTATTTGTACAACTCTGCGGTTTGTTTGGGCTTGCTCCTTTAAATTCACCTCCGCTTGAAAAACACAAGCTAAATTGGATAGTTAAGCCAAACGAAACACATTACAAGAATATTGGTTAAGTCAAAAGGAGCATGTCAATATTTTTTTACCGGCGTAGATATTTGTCTTATGGACAACATTTTCTCATGACCGGTAACTGTGTCTTGTCTTTGCTTGTGTGCTTGTTAACTTGTTCGGGCTTAACTAGTTTACAAGTACTCCCTCCGTTCCGAATTACTTGTCTTGGATTTGTCTAGATACAGATTTATCTAGACTCATTTTAGTGCTAGATACATCCGTATCTAGACAAATCCAAGACAAGTAATTCGGAACGGAGGGAGTATATTTTTTGAACTAACATTTTTTCCCTTGTGCTTATTCTGATACTATTTATAAACTCGGATGTGAAGCATACCATGTATGAATTCATTAACAGTCTGGAGAATTGGATTTCAAAGCTGGTCCATTTTTCAAAAATGATTGATGAAATACTCCCTCCGTCCGGAAATACTTGTCATCAAAATGGATAAAAGGGGATGTATCTAGATGTATTTTAGTTCTAGATACATCCTTTTTTACCCACTTTGATGACGAGTATTTCCGGACGGAGGGAGTACTTTTTTCTTTTTTTCTTTGCATCTTCATTTTCATGCATAACCATTGGTAATTCAGATGTGCGATGTGGATTCATGTGCCTGCAAGCTAAAAGCGTATGTGATTTGGCTTCGATCCATTTTAGTATTGTCGGTAAATAAAGTCAACAGTGTGGGTTTATTTAATCCTCAAGCTAACTGGAGCCACGGAACTCAGGGCTTTAGTTTTGTATATGTTGTCTTGATGGATACTAGTGGTTGGGGCGCACCCTGGTGCGCCTCCTGAGCGGAAGCTCTGCGGTGCCAGGTAGGTGGCAACCATTTCAATTTCTTTTTGTGTTGTGTTTGCCATATGGCTGGCCTCCAACAAAATGGACGAGCTTAACCACAATCAGTAACAACTAATAAGCCTTGTAATGTCCCACTTATTATCTCAAAGGGCATGATGTGAAACTTCATTAAAATACAGGGAAGATTTTACAGGATCAGTTATAAGAGAACATGAATTTAGAGGGTCAATTTTCAAGAAAACAATGATGCAACTGTAAGCATAGCTTCAGAGATCATGATGAGTACACTACCCACATAATACACTGAGCGGAAGCTCTGCAGTGCTAGGTAGGTGGCAACCATTTCAATTTTCTTTTTGTGTTGTGTTTGGCATATGGCTGGCCTCCAACAAAATGGACGGAGCTTAACCACAATCAGTAACAACTAATAAGCCTTGTAATGTCCCACTTGTTATCTCAAAGGGCATGGTGTGAAACTTCATTAAAATACAAGGAAGATTTTACAGGATCGGTTATAAGAGAACATGAATTTAGAGGGTCAATTTTCAAGAAAACAATGATGCAACTGTAAGCATAGCTTCAGAGATCATGATGAGTACACTACGCACATAATACACTCTCAGCAAGGAGAAAACAACAAGAACATGATTCAAAACAAGAAAAGCAACTTGCAGCTCTCCAGGATACCTCATCAATAGTATAGCCTCAAACTCCAGCAAAATTCTATTATGTCAAAGATCCTGACATTGTGTTCTTTCCAAAAAAAATCATCGGTCCACTGATGTTGTTTTCAAACAGCTCGCTATGAAGATGCGAAGATCCATTGTTATGCTGGAATTTTTTGTGTGTAATTTGACAAAGTCTGCACTCGGTACCAAGTTGCAATAGTACTTCAGGTTGCAAATGGAATGATGTGCCGCACAAAGCATTAACTCAAAAAATACCTGAACAACAAATTCACGCCTTCCACAATCCAGGAACATGTCTGCAGTCCAATCAACTCCTGATCTTATTTAGTTGTCAACAAGAACTCTTGATCTTATTTTATCCCTCGTTGTGCTAAAGCTTAGCTGATCTCTTGAGGTGAACGATCAACTTCATAGAACCAAAGGCATGTGAAGAGATTGGTGATGGTATGTGCTCTCCTATAATTACACAACCCTCAGGGAATCTGTTCAAGATAAATGTATCCCTTATGTTCTCAGGAGAAATATTTCTATATCAGAATTCAGCGAGAAGAACCATTTGCAGCTTGTAATAAGGAGCTTAGCTGATGAATAATGGGTTAACCCTCTGTCTTGTAGAACTTTATTTGGTTATCGATTGAAGCATTATCATACTTCCAGCCTTGTTGGCCTCAGCTTCCTCAAAGACATCAAAGCGTCTATAATACCTGGAAATAGTGAAGCGCACATTTTTCCTCCACAAGAATCTGCAGCATGGCAGTGTATACAGAATCAAAATAATAAAAAGTCAAAATCTAGAAAAGAGTAGATTTAATATTAAAGTAAGAATATGGTGCAGCTTGGATCTCTTAATACAACAGATAGAGCATAAGTGGCACTGGCAACAAGCAAACTTACTTTTTGACGGCATACTTTCATTGAGTTGTGTGCAGAGTAGTTTATAAGTAGCAGACAGAGGTCAGGAAGAGAACGTGATGTTTACCTCTTTAACAGCTGATAAGGATCCTTCACAAGTTTAAGTTTCCCATCGATACAGAGTGAATACCGCACATTAGGAAAGAGCCGATGAAGTAATAGTTTTGGAACCTAAATATCACAAGGGATTCAGTTAAAAAATTATAACAAGGAAAATACACAATTAGGAAAACAATTCGCTCATGCTGATTCGCATTAAGCATGGCATTTCAATTAAAAAATTACCACAAGGAAAATACGTGATTAGGAAAACAATTCGCTCATGCTGATTCACATTAAGCATGGCATACTCCTCTCGTCTTTCAACAGAACGGAAAGATGGTTGTGGAGTCAAGAAACTTTTCACACTGACCCAATGCAGAAAAGAATGAAAACATGTTGGATCAGCTATCTAGATAAGAGCGCATGTTGCTTTTAGAAGATTGCGTAAAATTATATTTTGCAACTAAATTTTAGTTTACATTGCCCGCTAAGCTGAATTTTAACTTGTGCACAATCTCCATGCCAGAAGTAACTGGCACCAAAAAGATTCAATTAGGAAAATCAAATAACCAAATGTACAGTACAGCAGCGGCGAAGCCAGCTTCAAAACTCTGTCGGTTCAGTAGTATTTTTTTTTATTTTCTTCACAATGAACTGCACAGTGATTTTAGGCTGATTTTCACGAAAGTTGTTGGGTCAGGAAAAGGTTGTGCACAACAACCACCCGCCACAGCCTGATTCTTTTCGTATTATCAACAGTAGGGATCTTCTTTATTGCAGCTTCAGTTTCTTCATCCAGAAACATGAAGAAGCAAACAATATCTTTTGAAAATGTTTTGATGTTTTCTGGTCGTTGCATTATATCATAATTCTCTGAGAAAAACAAATAAGAAAGTTCACACACGATGTGCAATTAGCACCGGCATGGAAACATGACAACATGCAAATATAATTGGCATAGAAAAGAGGATGCAGTTCCCGAAAATAGCAGAAGCAAATGTCCCCTGGCACTGCCGCATCTCAGACAGACCAGCTTCATCTACATCGAATGCAGTATCGAGACCATGTATCTTCCCCCCTCACAGATCTTAATATAAAGAAAAGGTTAGCGATACAACACACAGTGATCATATAAATGTACAAGAGTTAAATCATTTGAGTCATACAAGGACATACCCACAATGTAGTGTCATCGAGTCTTTTATGTCATATAAGACATATCTCGTTGTTCCAGGGATGGATAACCACGAAACAAAGAACCACTATTGGACCTATGAGTACCAAATTGTCTTCGGACAGATGAGCAGCTGGCATCAATGCCAGGCCCTGGTCAACAGGCACATAACAAACAGGACATGCTACACAAGTTTAAAATTATCAGATTTAGAACTTTCTTGTAACTCTGAATTGGACTGGTGAGACTACTTACACCCTTGTCGAGTGCGTCTCCTATCAATAGATGGAGGAGAAAATGAGAAATTTTCACAAGGATAGTGCTCTAGATGAATAGCTGGTAGGAAACTCCGTGAAATACCTCGAACCTTTTCATGGCTGATGTCCAACTGTTTTCCTGTCCGTGATGTTGTATCCGAATCATTTCCACTCAAAGAGGTCGTCCATACAGGATTGACAAAGCTCCTAACATGATCAGAAAATCCCAGCATGGTCTTGGTACCAGGTGTTGCAATTTCATCTACAACCAACCAAAAAAAGATTTTGTGGTTCAGTACTCAAAGATACATAAGTAAAAAAATGTAGAAATAATACAACAGATACTGGTTATGCTTTACTTTGTTACAACTAAAATGTAGATTAGATCAATTTAGCTATTACTCAAAAGAGAATGTTTAGCAGACAACATTACACGCAAACGACATATGAAAAGAAATACCATGTCATCTATAAGGGTTAGCAAACAGATATTGAGTAAAATCATCAACATCTACTACGAGAAACTGTACTAATTATGGCCCCTTGCTCTAAGAAGCATAGGCAGCTTCTTTAGAACAGCAGGAACGGCAGCTACAAAAAGTTGATGAATTAGGGGCTGTTTGGATCGCAGCCGTTAGCAGCCCTGCCAATTTTTTGGTCGTTGACCCACTCAATGGCAAGCATTTGGTTGGAAGCCAAAATTCCGGATCTGCGCCAAAGTTTTGGTCGTGCGTTCAGTTTTTGCGCCAGGTTGTTGGCGAGCCTGCGGTGGCAAAATCCTGCGCCAAAAAATTGGCTAGCCCCAAGTTGGTAAGGCTGGCATGGGCGTCAACCAAATAGACCCTCATTGGCACGGTCTGTACTTTAACAAATGCTTTGTGAATGCACCAGGCTCAAAGGAATCAACCATAGCAACTCTCTTTTTTCTTAAGGAACCAAATTAACTCTAGGAAGGGGCTAATGGCTTCTACACATTCTATCAGCATTAAATATTAGATGATAGAAGGCAAATCAGTTAACCATGGAAACAATTAGTGTGCAAACATCAGTTCACGGCAGCAAACATAACCCAGTTCGTCGCTATGAGGCACTACTAATTCATATGAATACTCCCATCATTCCAGGGGCAACTGAACACCAAATCCCCAACCGTAGAGCTAAACAACAAGGTGGGCGGCAAGAATCAGTCGTTCCAGCTATATTTGTGTCAAACCAACTCAAGAATGATGCAAATCATTCCATTCCACTTCCAAGAGTAAGTAATAAGTAGCAGTAGGGAAGTAGCAGCATGCCGAAACTTCTCACCTCCAGTTCTCCTTGGGCTTACACTCAGATGCGACGTAGGCGACGAGGTCCTCCTTGGTGAGCAGCTCCGTCAAAAGCCGGCGCGGGGGTGAGGTTGGATCTGATGAATCACGCGAGGACAATGACACCATCGCCGATGCTTTGCATCGACCCCAGTGCCTGTGGTGACCTTCTGCAAGAAACTTGAGACTCAAGAGGGGCTATGGCAACAAGTTGTTAGAGCCAAATATTTCAAGAACAAAACTATTAATACTACTAAAACAAGAGTCACTGATTCCCCTTGCTGGAAATCAATTATGAAGGTTAGAGAACTTTATTTGATTGGGCGCAAGATCTCTTTGCAGAAAAAGTGATAAAGCTGGAGTATGGGAAGATGTGCCTGTGGATGGTAAATCCTTCAGAGTTCAGTGAACAATATCTTGAGCTATACAACATTTGCTTTGAACCTAAATGTACTCTGGAGGAATTTGATAAATTATACCAGATCAATCAGAGGTTGGGGGTGGTACTCCTTTTCTAAAAAAAAACAAATCAATGATTTCAGAAGAAGGTTGTCTCCTGAGCTGTCTTTATGGTGGACTGAACTAAATAACAAGGTTGCTTCTTTTCCATTGACAACCCTGACAAAGTATTTTGGTATTTGAACAAAAAAAAGGGTATTTAGTAGGAGGTGCTAGGAGGGAGCCTTTGCGCTGCTTACCTCGCCGCTGCAGCCATGGATCTGGAGCTCGGGAGAGAAGGGGGTGCATCCGAGGCACGCGAGCGTCGTCCAGGAGGCACAGCAGCATGAGAGAGCACGGCAAGAGACAGAGACGACCGGGCCAAGGCGCTGGAGCATCACCGGCAACGAGGAGGTCGACCGCGGAGGGGAGGCGGAGGCAGCTAGGAGGGAGGTCGAGGAAGAGGAGGGAGGGACTGGTGGGGGCGTGGGTGTGGAGGTTAGGTTTTTACCGAACGGCGGCTGGCTCGAGGCGGGGCGGCTGGCAGACGCGGCGTCGGCAGCGGCGAGCATGGAGAAGGGAAGAAGGGGGCGCGGCGGCGGCGGCAGGAGAGGAGGCGGGGTTCGCTGGGGGAGACGGGTTAGGTCACAGGCATCGCTACGCAGCTACTCGGTCGCTCGCTTCTTTTTCTCTCGCTCGCTCGCTTCTTTGCACTCGCGCGCTCGGTTTTTTATTTTCACCTCACAGAGTAAAGGGTCAACTCGGATGTGCACAACGCCTCCCCCACGCCCCGTGCGCCCAAAGCCACGACAGTGCGCACATTGCGCGATTCTTATTGTGTTTAATGATATTCCTTGGTGATGCCTAAGCTTGTAAAAAAGTTCATGTGTGCCTCTTTCAACAATAGGAAAAATCATTTTCCGGTCTCTATATCAGAAATTACATACAACTTATTCTTTGCTCTAGATGGACCTACAGTTTCTAGCTTAGTGATATTCTAGGTTTGTGTTTTGCCCGGCAAACATTTAAGCCATTTCCCCCTTTTTGAGAAATTAGTAAAACATTCAGGATTTCTTTTGAAGGATGCGCGCATTCATACTTTCTTTTTTAAGGGATACACGCATTCAAATGATAGTAAGGATAATGTTGTATGTTTTTTTGTTATTGTTGTTGTTGTTGAGAAACTGAAATGTTGTGCTCCTATGTTGGAAGTTGGAACCATGCTTTTCTATCTGCGGAAAAAAAGGATCAATGTTGATTTTGGCCCAGTTACATTTTCTTGTAGGGATCTGGCCCTGTATGCCAACGTGAAGTGTGTACGCCCCAGAGGCCCATTAAACCTTCAGTCACACGATAGCGGCGCTCTCGCGTAGGCACGTCTGCTCTCTCTCTCTCTCAAAAAGAAGTACAGTAGTCAGGTCCAAAAGTATTATTGCTTCTAAGATATTTTTTGCCCCGAAACGAAATTCTAAGTTTTTTTTTCAGGGGACTTGCTTCTAAGATATTTCAAGAATTGTAGCCTCTCGATTTAATAAAACTGAGAAATTTAATACAGAAATAGAATTTTAGAAGCTTCAATTGGTAAGGAGAAATAGTGAGAATGGCAGAACATATGATTCTATAGGATTTTATTGAAATGAATCCTAACACTTTATTTTGTGGATGGTGGAACAAGTTTTTTTTGTCTTAGTTTATGAATTTATAATTTGAAAAATAAGACAAGAAAGAGTAACTTTTCCCGCAAAATTCTTAGTGAGTTAGATATTTTACTGTAATGCAATAATAGTAAATTTAAAGATGTTTTTTAAGAAGGATTACATTGTCTATAAATATAGAGTAAATATAGAGTTATATATATGATATATCTTCTTTCTTGACTATATTTTTTCTGCTTTAATAAATTTAACATTATATATAACATTTTCTATTTTTTGTGTATCTATCTAAATCATAATATATTTTTAATATTATGGAGTTGGATAAATTTGCACATTTGAAGAACGATTGTGCACAGCTAGCCCAATTTTTGCGAAAGTACATAAAGCTATTCCCATTGTTCCAGAGAAGCTAATGAAACAACAAATGCTCAAGCTAATTAAGAATAGTCCTTAGGCATGGCTGGTAGAACCTCCAGTTTTCTCAAGGCCTAAGCTTGTAAATGATCTATTACTATTTTACCAACAAAAAGTTACTTCCACTGTAAGAAAAATTGACACACGTTTGCTATTCTGTTAAACCCGTAATCCATCCCTCCGTGAGTCTAACATTACTCTTAAGTCACACTATTCCATATCCAGGAACAAAGCAGACATGGTCTAAAAGAAGGTATGCATAGTTTGCTATATCATTTGCACTTTCATGTTTTCCTTGTTCCATGTACGTATCGATACGTATATAACCATTTTATAAATGAAAAATGCCACAGTATTGGTGTACACCACTAGTTATGCTAAGAAAAGCTCTACATTTCCATCACCATCGTGCGAGAAGTAGATTAAAAGAAGTTAGCTCACTAAAATGATTTGTAATTTCCAACCTTCTGAAATTCAAGTTTTAGTTTAATCCGTCAGCTTATGGCCAAAATTATTCCAACATCCCACTAGATGTGCACCAACTTTCAATACAAAGAACAATGTCTTCCTAGAAACCCGAAGTCAACGTTAAACTTGCCACAAACCCAAGATTTCAACTCTTACCCTCTAAACATCCCCTCCCCTTTGGATCGAACCCTCCAACCAAACAAAAGCCATTGCCCTCCTCCCTTGATCTACAACAAAGACATAGGCTCTAACATCCACCCTACCTTGTGGTGTCAATATAACATGGCTATGATAGAAAGAGAAAACAAGAGGGTTGGCAATGATGGACCTTGGAAGCCTTTGTATCTCTGCCATGACAAAAGTCTCTGTAACGGGACATAGCGTTTGTCAATGGCCTTCATTGCCAACTAACTCTAGCATCTCCAAAGACATGAATGACTCCACCTTGTTGGTGTGGCAACGTAGTCGGTCAAAAGTGGTTAATGATATAGGGATGGCGCTGTCGGATATGGGGTTCTGGCAAAATCCTTAAGGTTTGAACCCTGGGGTGCGCGCGAAGATCTTCCCCCTACCGATCCACGTCCTAACGCCTCGCTGAGAATCTAAGCTACCAGATGAACAACACAAGGGACACGAGATTTATACGGGTTCATGCCACCATTATGGTGTAATACCCTACTCCAGTGTGTGGTGTGTGGATTGTCTCAGGGGCTGATGATGAACAGTATAGAGGAAGAACAGCCTCGCAAGGGATGTTCTTGTGGTGGTGTGGCATTCTGCTTGGGAAGGATTCGATCCCCGATTGCCCTCCTTTTTTCCTTGGTGGTAGCTAACCCTATATATAGAGGCCCTGTTCCTCTTCCCAAATATTGAGCGGGAAGGGCGCCAACAACGGCCATTTTGAAGGGCAACATCTAGTACAACTTATCCTGACTAAAGTTGGTCTTCGGCTGTCAAAGGTACTAGTGATGACGCTGTCTTGGGCTCCACGGTGATCTCCGTCCTGCCGCTCTGCTCGTGTCATGCCCAATATACGATACTATCCTAAAGAGACTCGAAGGTCCCACCAAGGATAGAACCGCATATTGAAACGCTTTTGTAAGGTGGATATCACTACATCAACATTACATAATAGATGGGGATACATACAAAAGGCATACAATGCCACCCGAATACAACGATACATCATACACAATAGCATCATCCGACTATGGATGAAACACAAACAGAAACTGAAACGACATCCACCCTGCTAGCCCAGGCTGCTGACCTGGAACCTATCCCCTGATCGAAGAAGAAGCAGAAGAAGAACTCCAAAACAAGTAACATCGCTCTCGCATCAAGATCATCGCATAACCTGCACCTGCAACTGTTGTGGTAGTAACCTGTGAGCCACGAGGACTCAGCAATCCCATTACCATGGGTTTCAAGACTAGCAAAGCTAAATGGGTAAGGAAGGGGTAAAGTGGTGAGGTTGCAGCAGCAACTAAGCATGATATGGTGGCTAACATACGCAAATAAGAGCGAGAAGAGAAGCAAAGGAACGGTCGTGAAGCTAGCAATGATCAAGAAGTGATCCTGAACTCCCACCTACGTCAAACATAACCCAAAAACCGTGTTAACTTCCCGGACTCCGCCGAGAAGAGACCATCACGGCTACACACGCGGTTGATGCGTTTTAATTCGGATCTGGTGTCAAGTTATTTACAACCGGACATTAACAAATTCCCATCTGCCACATAACCGCGGGCACGGCTTTTGAAAGATTATACCCTGTAGGGGTGTCCCAACTTAGCCCATGATAAGCTCTCGCGATCAACGAAGGATATTCCTTCTCCCAGGAAGACCCGATCAGACTCGAAATCCCGGTTACAAGACATTTCGACAATGGTAAAACAAGACCAGCAAGACCGCCCGATGCGCCGACAATCCCGATAGGAGCTGCACATATCTCGTTCTCAGGGCAACACCGGATGAGCAATCCGTACAACTAAAACCAGACCTCAAGTTTCCCTGAGGGGGCGCTGCAAAGGGCTCTAGTTCGGACCAGCACTTGGAGAAGCACTGGCCCGGGGGGTGCTAAAATAAAGATGACCCTCGAGAGAGCGACTCCCAAGGGAAAAGTAGGTGGTGGTGAGGCAAATGGTAAAACCAATGTTGGGCCTTGCTGGAGGAGTTTTATTCAAAGCGAACTGTCAAGGGGGTCCCATAAATCACCCAACCACGTTAGGGACGCAAAATCCGGGAACATAATACCGATATGACGGAAACTAGGGCGGCAAGAGTGGAACAAAACACCAGGCATAAGGCCGAGCCTTCCACCCTTTACCAAGTATATAGATGCATTAATTAAATAAGAGATATTGTGATATCCCAACATAATCATGTCCACCATGGAGCAATCTTCAACTTCACCTGCAACTAGCAACGCTATAAGAGGGGCTGAGCAAAGCGGTAACATAGCCAAGCAATGGTTTGCTAGGAAGGGTGAAAAGGTTAGAGGCTGACATGGCAATTTGGGAGGCTTGAAGAGCAAAAGATAGGTAGCGCAGCAAAGCGATAGAACAAAGCAACTAGCATAGCAATGATAGTAGTGAGATCTGGGGTAGTGGTCATCTTGTCTGAAATCCCGCTAGGAAGAAGAACGAGTCCATGAAAAAGACGAACGGATGAAGCCGAACCAAGCGTAGATGAACGAATCCTCACGATCGCAACGAAAACGGGAACTATCGAGAAGAAGCACACAACATGGTAAACACACCACACATAGACAAGACATGATGCACAATCAAGTATGATGCAAGACAAGGCTACATGAAGCTACTCATGGCAAGAGATGATGCATACAAGAGCAACACATCAAGTCAAGTTTAAATGAGGTCGGGAACAACATATAACAATTCTGGTAAGTCCTCATATGCAAATTTCGAAATAGGTCCAGATCTGAATAAACCTTATGTTCAAGTTGTTAAATAGCAAGTTAAGATGCACAAAGATGGTCTACACGAAATTCTAGTCAAGTTACATATAAA